AATTTTGAGGAGATTATTTTGTTTTGAAGCACGAGTTGAGCTAGTTTTCATATAGTTTGAATATATTCTTTTGTAAAGCTCCTCGATGGTAGGAAAAACCCTAAATGTACTTTGATCTAAATATCTTTCTCTTGAGTTGTAAATTACAAACGTATGTGTATAGCACTGTTTAACCTTGTTCATGTATCCTATTTGGTTTGGGAATGTTTCTCCGAGGTATATGGTGATATCTACATGCGATTGGATTCTAGTTGGATGGTGACGTGGCAGTCACTATTCATTTGTGATTTTAATCGCGAGAGCGCGCTAACATTTTTCGAAACATTTTAAATCATATTTATCCGTCTTAGTAGTCCTGGCGAGAGTTGGGCAGGCAGTCTGCTAACCCCTTTGGTACGCCCTAGGGGAAGGTGGGGTTGTCACAGGTTTGATGTCGTTTGGACGTGTATCCAACGACCTTCCTACGAAACTCTGAATCGAGACTCTCTGGTGGGGTATAGCCATTGTACTAGCCTGTTGTGTTGTCCAGCACCGCCAACTACGAAACTCTGAATCAAGGATCTCTAGTGGGGTATAGCCGTTGCACTAGCCTATTGTGTTGTCCAGCACCACCAGAGATGAAATTCTGAATCGAGACTCTCTGGTGAGGTATAGCCAAGGTGCTAGCCTGTTGTGTTGTCCAACACCGCTAGGGACAAAATATCTGGGACTATAAGTCCAACCTAGAGCTAATTGACTGAATCAAGCGGGCAAGAGATATGTTTGGTGAACGGGTTTTGGCGTAAGAGGGGTCTATGGTCATGGTTGTTTCTTCGAGCGTTGACGGGGAGTCAACGAGTTGGGATCAAGTACTGCATTGGGAATTTGGCTCTTGAGAGCCACCTGTATCCTTTCTATTTGAAGTGTTTGTTCATTTCTTTATTTAGTGTGTATAATTGCTTGATTAAAAGTAAAGTTCCATGATTCTTGACTACTTGTACTTGTGGTATCTCATTGAGCGTAAGCTCACGCCTTTCCATTATTTTTGTTTCCTTACAGGTTTCAAAATGTTGGGAACCATGATTTTGAAGAAAAGAGCAGAACTAGAGACAGATATATGTTTTGTTTAAGCTCCTCCGAACTAGAAAATCCTAATTGTACTTTGATCACTTTTGGATATTTTTGAACTTTTGAACTTTTGACTAGTTGAACTTTTGAACTTTCCAATGTATATATAGATCTAAGTGTTTAATCGTGTGTTTCAATTGTATTCGTTTGAGATTGTACATTTATATGGGTATGTGAACTGTACTTGTAACCGTTGGAAAGATCGGGCGAGTACGGACTTTGGACGAGAAAAGAAACAATTTTGGCAAGAAAACTGTTCATCGAATTCAGCCGTATATCTGGCCAGTTATTGGCCGGATAGGTGGCCGGATTGACAGGGGAGTTTGAAAAATATTTGAGTTGCTCACTGTCTTAAATCCGGCCATTAATCCGGCCGGATTGTGACGTGACCGCGTTTCGTTCAGTTTTCGTTTCGTTTTTGTTTTCGTTGAAGTGTTTAATCGAAGTCTCATTTCACTGTATGGTTTGGTAACTTATGTTTTTTGCTTAAAGGTCTTCAATTGTTTGTTTTCTTTGGGTTCTATCGCGCATTATGTAGGGTGTTATATGATTTGTTTTCGTAATCATAGTGAGAGTTGGGCAGGCGGTCCGCTAAACCCTGGGATTCGCCCTAGGGGGAGGTAGGGCTATCACACTATATCACAAATTGTGTCCATGTGACGACTTTAGAAGGTCATCACAGAATATCATATTGTAATGAAGACTTCAAAATCATCACTAACAAGCTTACATTCTGTGTTGGCTAATGTTGGCACTCCTTGACCTTTTTTTTTGTCATAGTTACTATAGATATCATCGCAAAATTTAGTTATCTAGTGACGACTTTGGGTCATCAGTGATTTCCCATTCATTTAATGACTAACAACTGTTGTCGCTTAGTGAACTTTTGGATAGTGACAACATTCTATTGTCAAGGAACTTTATTTAACAGGTTAATCACATATATTACTATGTGCTAATCATTTCCAGCATAATTACAAACAACCACAACAGCCTTATAGCTTTGACTAATATAAAAGTCAATGATATTTAACACACAACCAATAGTTAAAACATATATAGCCATAGACATATTTTTAAATTCATTAAAACAAACATCATCTAAAATATTTAAGTCATCAACATCAGTTGAAGTACAAATTTGTCAACTACCCATAATTATAGCTAACCCATCCAAAATAAAGACTTCATAGTTTTCTATACAAAAGCATGGGCATAAGTAACTATGCCTTCAAACAAAAGCCATCTGGATCGTGTTCAGGACCAAAGCCTGATCTTCTTTTCATCTCTTCATGATCATTAACACCATAGTACTGCAATTATAAAAAAAAAAAGTGTCATATGAATTAGAGTATGGATCAGATTACATTTGGCAAAAGGTAAACAAACTGCTTTACTTTTAATTCCTCTACTCTAAAAGTAAACAATTTGCTTTACTTGTCAACTATCCACAATTGATATCTGTACAATATATGCCTAACCAATTAATATAATTACTATTTTCAAGAATTAAAAATAATCAAGAAAAAGAGAGATTACCTTGATCACCTTTTAATCTTTTGAAAAGACTTCAGACTTTTTACGTTTTAGCGGTAATAATGGGGGCTAAAGTGTATGTTACATAGTTTGTTTAGAAAGGATGGCATGAATAAAAGAAAAAATGCAGAAAGAAAACCTTTATTCCCGGAGTACCTGTTGAAGTCTAGACCATCTCCATTTGTGGTGATTCTGAGAGGACCTAGCTTTGTAATTGCACCATGTCCAATTGATGAACATCCAGGCCTTGCATGAAACCAAACAATAAATTATTATTATTCTTTTTGGTTAGAAACAAACTAGTGAATAAATAATTGAACAATAAGATCATTGCAAAGCATCTAATATTCCATTAGTTTGCATGCACAAAAAAAATTATTTAAAAGTGGTCTATGTACTTGCCTGGTGTCCCACAGTTTACTGAGTATTTACATTCACCAACTTGTTAACACCTAATTGTGTAAATGCCATTGAACAAGGATAAGTTTGCAATTGGAGAGTACGGTGACGAGAAAGGATTTTTCACAGTATATGTATCTAGAATTATTAAAGAAGAGTGATTTATTACTAATTAATAGTGTTAAGTACGGTAAAGATATTATCAGACCAATTAATAAGTAGACATAGTAATCTATTAAGGTGCCTCCATTGAGCCAGAGGAGAAGGGGCTTTTTTGTTGTTTCGGATTGTGCTTCAAAAAACCAATAGAAAAGAGCCCTCCCATGAGCTTGATTGATAGTAATATAGCCAAAGCACTGGAGATTGGTGGACTTCTGGATTGACTAGGGAGCTTTAATATCTTATCAAATTCTTGGGAATTTGGGTAGGCATTAATGCATGGCATTAAAGCACCAAGAATGATTGGTAGAACTACAACTACAAGTAGGGTCGTGCTTGCAGTTGGATTTGAAGTTGATGATGCCATGTTCTTAGTATATTTTCCACTTCTATGAATTTACTACACGGCGTTTCACCTCCAGCTATTTAGGAAAACTTTTACTTACATTTAGCACTAGGATTATATTTTAGAAGAATCAACATTAAACATCATAAAAGTAGTAATTATATCAAAATAGTGCCGAGCTTGTAAAATAATCTATTTACACTTATGCTTAAGCAGTATTTCTATCACAAGTTGCATTTGCATAACTAGTTCAATATAGTACTTAAGCTGGAATTACAGCTTTAGTTTAGAATGCTCCCAACTTAACAATTCAAATGGTGACTGCAGAGGCCCCATTCTGGGCCCAGACACGTGGCAGCCCAGGAATGGCCGAGCTGGGCCTTGGCCCTCAGACCCCTGGGAGCGGCCCCGGGCCGTACCGACTAGGGCTCCCAGGGGAGGCGAAGGTCCATCCCGAAGAGGTCGGGGGTAATCCCCCTGAGTGCGGGATACTATCTATACTGGGCAAGTCCCGCGTCGTGCGGAGGTCGGACTCCCTTGCAGGTATAAATGATAACACACATCCATTGTACAAGGTACGCTCACTATAGGCAAATTACTCCCGGTTGTTACTACTTCCCGTGAACTCTACTCACTGGAAAACTAACTTGACCGTCGGAGTGCCCTCGGGGACCACCCTCGGACCCCCTCAGTTAGCTCATCCTTTCTGTTTTGCAGGCTTGGAGTCAGCGCTGCCATCAACGATCCGAGCTGATCAGGTCAGCTCTCCTAGGGGAAGTTCCGTGCTTCTTCAGTTGGCACCGTCTGTGGGAACCGTAAGGTAAGTAAGATTGTGTTGATGGCCAGGACGCGATCCAAGCGCACGATGGAAAGCACTGGCCCTGGGGGCGGCGAGGGATCCCAGCGAAAGGAGGCTGAGGCATCTCGCGGAGCCGGGGGCTCAGCCCTTTCGGGGGAGCGCAGGCAGCAAATCTTCCAGTTTGTGGCGGAGAGCCTCCCCATGCTGGAAGATATAATCCGGCAGGCGAAGGAAGGAGAGAGGGCTGGGGGTGCACAGACCTCCAAGGCCAAGGGGAAGGAGAAGGAGTCACCCTCTGATCCTTCAGCGGATGAGTCGTGAGACCAGCCCCCCAGGAGGAAACGACCGCGGACTCCGCCTCACCCGCGAGCCTCGGTGGTCGGGGATAGCGAGAGGTATTCTCGCGACCGGTCCGCGAGGAGTCGTCCTAGAGGCCCCTCCCCACGGAAGACCACACGAAATGGGTTTGAGCGCTCCCCTGCTCGGCCCGCCAGGAGCCGACCCCGCGACCCCCTTCATTCGGAACCTGCTCGGGATGAGCTCGAGCAGATCTTGAGGTCCCGGCAGTTCGAGGACAACTATGCAACCTCGCCTTTTACCCGGGAGATAGAGGACTACCCCCTACCCCGGAGGTTTAAGATTCCGAGCATCGAGATGTACGATGCCTCTACGGACCCGGAGGACCACCTTTCGGTCTTCTTGACGCATATGCGCCTGCAGACCGCTGCGGATGAGGTCCGCTGCAAGACCTTCCCTATGTTCCTAAAGGGAAAGGCGCGGCTCTGGTTCCAGGGGCTGAAGCCGGGGTCTATACGGAGTTTTCCTGAGCTGGCCCGGCAGTTTGCAGCCCAGTTTGTCTCCTCGAAGGTCTACGCGAGGAACGCAACCCACCTGATGTCCATCAGACAGAGGCCTGAGGAGTCGCTGAGGAATTTCATGACCCGCTTCAATGCGGAGAGCTTGCAGGTCAGGGACAAAAATGAAAAAGTGGTCATGGCCGCCTTCACAAATGGGCTCAGGGTGGAGGAGCTCTTCTACGACCTGGCCAAGAAGCCTCCCGTAAACCTGGAGGAACTCTTACGCAGGGCGCACGAGACCGCTAATGCGGAGGAGGCAGGTCGTCTGAAGAAAGAATCAGATCGGGAGCTCGGAGATCGGAAAGGTCGGACGAACCCGCCGGAGGGCAAGGACGTCCCGTCCAAGAAAAACGTCTTCGACCGGCTCTCGAAGGAGAAGGCCCCTGCTCTGCCGCCACTCCCAGAGAAGACCTACACCCCTCTAACACGGCCCAGAGCTCAGATCTTGGCCGTTATGGAGGCGGAAGGACTAGGAGATCGGCCGCCAAAAATGGGGACGCCCCGAAACAAAAGGAACCAGGACAGGTACTGCGCCTTTCACCGCGACGTGGGACACGACACGGAGGGATGTTGGGCCCTGCGTAAGGAGATAGAAGACCTGATCCAACGCGGCTTTTTAGGACGGTTCGTGCGCCGACCAGGTCAGGAGCCCGGGCGCAGCCACTACGGAGACAGGCACGAGGGACGGCGTCGGGGCCGCCCAGAGCGGCGCGACGCTCCTCGGGGCCACTCTCCCGACCAGGACACCCAGAACCTAGCGGGGGTGATAAACACCATTGCCGGAGGTCCCACAGGGGGGGACAGCCATGCAACTCGGAAGAACAAGCGACCACCCCCCCGAAGGGGATGATTCCTTGAAGCGCTTGCGCATGGACGAGGAGATCACCTTCGGGCCAAGGGATGCGGTCCCCCTGGCTTCTGGGAACCATGAGGCCATCGTGATAGACATTGTCACCAACAACTATCGGGTGAAGAAGGTATATGTCGACCAGGGTAGTGCGGTCGACATCATGTTCTACAGGGTGTTCAAGGAGCTCGGATTAAGGGATGACCAGCTCACCCCGGTCCGGACACCTCTGGTGGGATTTACCGGACCACCCATCAGCTCGGAAGGGATGATCACCCTGATGGTCACAGTAGGACAGGCTCCCAAATGCCGGACTGTTCCCGTCAACTTCGTGGTGGTCAGGCAGCCGTCCCCGTACAATGTGTTCCTGGGGAGGCCTGCTTTGAACGCCCTCCGGGCTGTTTCCTCCACTTACCACCTCAGCGTCAAGTTCCCTACCCCGGGAGGGATAGCCGAGGTGCACGGCGACCCGGAGGTAGCTAGGACTTGTTACCTAGCCACGCTCCGGGGGCAGGAAAAGGTGGTCGCCCAGACAACCTGTCTGGAGCCCTACATCCCAGGGGATGAGGCCCAACAGCTGGGCACCCAGGATGAGACTGAGGAATTCCCCTTAAGGGAGGATCGGCCCAACCAGGTCCTCCGCATCGGAGCCTTGTTGCCCGCCAGGGAGAAGGAGGACTGGAAAGCTGTGCTGAGAGAGTACTCCCAGGTCTTCGCTTGGTCGGTGGATGACATGCCTGGGATTCCAACGGACCTGGCAGTCCACCACCTTGACGTCGACCCTCATTTCAAGCCGGTGAAGCAGAAGAAAAGGAGTTTCGCCCCTGAGAGGAACGAGGTGATCAAGGCGGAGGTCGGCAAGTTGTTGGAATCCAAGATCATCCTGGAGGTCTACTACCCGACCTGGTTGGCCAATCCGATCCTAGTCAAAAAGGAGGACCAGACTTGGAGGATGTGCGTAGACTTCACGGACCTCAACAAAGCCTGCCCAAAGGACTGCTTTCCCCTGCCTAGAATCGACAGGTTAGTAGATTCTACCGTGGGTTTTGACGTTTTATACTTCCTGGATGCTTTTAAGGGATACCACCAGATAGAGATGGCTGAGGAGGACCGGGATAAGACCTCCTTCATCACTGAAGAGGGGACCTACTGCTACAGAACCATGCCATTCGGACTCAAGAACGCGGGGGCCACTTACCAGCGCCTGGTCAACAAGCTATTCCGAGGCCAGATCGGCAGGAACATGGAGGTCTATGTGGACGACATGATCGTAAAAAGTCGGACTGACCAGCAGCTCATACCCGACTTGAGGGAGATCTTGAACATCCTGCTGGAAAGCCGGATGCGCCTAAATCCAAAGAAGTGTACCTTTGGGGTCAGGTCGGGAAGGTTCCTTGGTTTCCTGGTGTCGCGAGACGGAATCCGGGCCAACCCGGACAAGCTCTAGGCCCTCGTGGACATGGCCCCCCCAAGGAACGTGAAGGAAGTCCAGCGGCTCACGGGGAGAATGGCAGCCCTGAGCAGGTTCCTCTCGCGTTCCGCGGTTCGGGGACTACCCTTCTTTCGAGTCTTAAAAGCGCCCAAGGATTTTCGTTGGACCGAGGAGTGCCAGAAAGCGTTCGCCGACCTGAAAGCGTATCTGGCCGAGCTGCCAACTCTGACCGCCCCAGAGCTAGGGGAGACCCTATTCCTATATCTGTCCACCTGCAACGAGGCCGTTAGTGCGGTCTTGGTACGGGAGGACAGGGGGGCTCAGAGGCCGGTGTATTACGTCAGCCGAGCTCTGCAGGGGCCAGAGACTCGATACTCGCCCGCCGAGAAGCTGGTCCTTGCCTTGGTACATGCTGCTCGCAAGCTCCGCCCTTACTTCCAGGCTCACAGCGTTGTAGTCCTGACCGACCGACCCCTACGGCAGATACTCACCAAGCCCGAGGTCTCGGGCAGGATGACCAAGTGGGCCGTCGAGCTGGCCGAGCACGACCTTAGCTATCGGCCCCGCACCGCGATCAAGGCCCAGGCCTTAGCAGACTTCCTTGCAGAGGGGGCTAATTTAAACCAAACCGAGTTGGCCCCGACACCCACGGACACCCCGGCGGAGAAGCCTTGGGTGCTGTTCGTGGACGGCGCCTCGAGCAGGGAAGGGAGCGGAGCTGGCCTACTGCTCACCTCGCCAACCGGAGAAGAACTGACCTACGCGCTTAGGTTCGATTTTCCGGCATCCAACAACGAGGCAGAATATGAGGCCCTCCTGACGGGGCTGCGGATAGCCCACCAGATGGGCGTCACCGCAATCAGAGTTCGGAGCGACTCTCAGCTCGTCGTCCTCCAGGTCCGCGGGGAGTACGAGGCCAAGGACGAGGTTATGAAGAAATACCTGGCTAAGGTACGGGAGGCGATGGCCCTGTTCAGAACATTTGAAATAGAGCGGGTGCCGAGGTCCCAGAACAAGCGGGCAGACGCCCTCTCGAAGTTGGCGTCTTCCTCATTTGCCCACCTGAGCAAGGAGGTCTTGGTAGAGGTGGTAAAACAAAAAAGTATCGATCGGGTCCAGGTCTTGGCTATAGACAGCTCGGCCACCTGGATGGCGCCCCTCATAGACTTCCTCAGCTCGGGTGCCCTCCCCGAAAACAAAGCCGAGGCACGCCGAATCCAGCTCCGGGCTGCCAAGTACGCCTACACCGGGGGTACCCTCTATAGGAGGTCGTATTTGTCCCCCTGGTTAAAGTGCGTGACTCCCGAAGAAGGTGATTACGTCCTGCGCGAAATCCATGAAGGAATATGTGCGGCACACGTGGGATCTCGGGTGTTGGCCAAAAAGTGTCTCCTTCTGGGCTACTACTGGCCCTCTGTCTTCCGAGACGCAGCAGATCTGGTCCAGAAATGCCGAGCTTGCCAAGTACACGCCTCGCTGCGTCATCAGCCAACTCAGGAGATGGTTCCCATCCATAGTCCTTGGCCCTTCGCTCAATGGGGGATAGACCTCCTGGGTCCCTTCCCCCGAGCCCCGGGGAGATATGAGCACCTCGTGGTGGCCATTGACTACTTCACAAAGTGGGTGGAGGCGGAGCCCCTGGTCTCTATTTCGGGGAAGGCAATTCGGAAATTCTTCTGGAAGAGCATAGTTTGCCGGTTTGGGATTCCGCATGTCCTGGTATCCGACAACGGCCGCCAGTTCGCCGAGAAACCTTTCCGGAGCTGGTGCGCTGAGCTCGGAATCAACCAACACTTCACGTCGGTTGGTCATCCCCAGGCCAATGGTCAGGTGGAGAACGCTAACCGAATGTTCTGCAAGGGTTGAAGACTAGACTGTAGTCCGTCCAATCGAGCTGGTTGGATGAGCTCCCCAGCGTCCTCTGGGCTTACCGTACTACGCCCCGGACGGCTACCCAAGAGACCCCGTTCTCCCTAACTTACGGAGTAGAGGCGGTGGTGCCAGCGGAAGTCGGACTTCCCTCACCCAGAACACAGAACTTCGTGGCAACCTCCAACGAGGAAGAGCTTCGGTGCAGCTTGGACATGCTCGAAGCCAGGCGTGAGGAAGCGGCAGTTCGGATGGCTAAGTATAAAAGCCAGCTCGCCCGCTATCACAACGCCAAAGTGAGGACGGTACAGTACCAGCCTGGGGACCTCGTCCTAAGGAAGAACTCGATCAGCCGAGCTCACAGTTCCAACAAACTCGCCCCAAATTGGGAGGGCCCCTACAAGGTCATTGAGGTAGGTCGGGCCGGTTACTGCAAGCTTGCCGACATGGACGGATCTGAAGTACCTCGGACTTGGCACTTCTCCAATTTGCGGTTGTTTGTAGCATAGGTTAAACCAAGGTGTTCAGTGGCCTGTTCTCTGAAATCCGAATTTTTGTTCTCATTTAATCAAAGCTCGTTTTCATTTTCACTTGTACTTATTTCATTTTACAATTTTCACGCCTGCACCTTACACTAGCACATTTAGCATTCCCTCGCTCAATGTCCTAGTGGGGGGCTAGGGGTAGTTGGGGGTGAAATGTGAAGTGTTCGGCCCAGGAGGTCGGCAAAAATGCACATAATGCTTACACTCGGAAGTGTGAGAGGTTCGACCCAGGAGGTCGGCACGAACACGCTTAATGAGGTGTGAAGTGTTCGACCCAGGAGGTCGGCACGAACGCACTTAATGTTTATGAACTGTTCGACCCGGGAGGTCGGCACGACAGGATTGGAGCAGGCAAGAAATGCAAAGTAATCCTTCAGCCCAGGAGGTCGGCAAAAATGCACATAATGCTTACACTCGGAAGTGTAAGGGGTTCGACCCAGGAGGTCGGCACGAACACGCTTAACGAGGTGTGAAGTGTTCGACCCAAGAGGTCGGCACGAACGCACTTAATGTTTATGAACTGTTCGACCCGGGAGGTCGGCACGACAGAATTGGAGCAGGCAAGAAATGCAAAATAATCCTTCAGTTTTATATATGCATTCGAAGCTGATCTATTACAAAACTCACAGAGTTCCTGAGCCGCCTATCTATTACAAAGAGTCCTGCCTATCTATCGCAAAACTTCCGAGTTAGCGATCCCCTTCGATGCCTGCTCTACTTGCTGGTGTCTCGCCCGGAGCTGGAGCTGAAAGTACATCTTAAGCATGTTGAGCGGCGCATGGTGAAGGCCATTCAGGAGCCCGGGAGCAGGGGAGCCCTTCTGTCTTGGATGGACCTCCAAGGGCATTTTCAACTGGAGCAGGGTCATATCCTTATAAGAAGACAGGAAGGGTCTCTGGAGTGGCCATCGCCCTAGGCCACTGGCCCCTTCCCGGCAGCTCGGCCAGGAGACCCGTCCTCCTCCAAGGGAATTTCCTCCAGCTCGGCCCCAGTGTCAGTCCGGCTCGCCAGCTCCTTCAGGGAGTGCCCCTTGCGATACCCGTCGAAGAGCCAGTCCAGCCTCTCCTCGGCTGCGGGGTTGTAGTCCTTGAAACTCGCCAAGTCGAGGCCAGGAGGATTGAGTTTCTTCACCTGGTCCAGGGCCCGGGTGCAGCCGACCTGGAGGATGGGCAGGTTGAGGTGGGCGATGTCCTCCTCAAACTGGTCGGAAGTAAGGAACTCCCGAACAGCCCTCTTCCGCTCCCGGCTGACGGTGCCGGAGAGCTCGAGGACGTGCTCCTCCTTCAGCTTGGCCACACCGGCCTTCTCCTGGTCGAGCTCCGACCTGGTAGAGGCGAGCTGGACCTGAGCAGCGTCCAGCTCCTTCTCGGCCTTGTCCAGTTTGGCCTTGAGGGAGCTTGCCTCCTTGAGGGCCTGGGACAGCTTCTTCTCCGCCTCCAGGTTCTTTTTCCGCATCTTCTCCAGGTCGGGTGACAGCTCGGAGAAGCGGGTCACCAGGGCGCCACCAGCGGCGTTGGCCTGAAGGAGAAAAAAAGCAGTTCAGCGCGTCACACTACCCAGCCCAGACACGGAGGCCAAATTATCCCAGGGGCAGAAAACTTACTTGGGCCTGGGAGGTGAAGTACATATCCTGGAGCTCGGCTGGGTCGGCGAGCTCCATCCACCTCTTGTTCCGCGGAAGGACCGAGCCCACCATCAGCTCCCGAGTTGCCTCAGGGAATTGGACCCGGTCGTTGATGGAGAGCTTCCAGGAGGGGCAGAAGTGGCGGGGATCGTGCATAATGGGGGCTTGGCCCGGCTTCTGGGGTAGGATGTGGCGGAAGTGCCACAAGCTCGGAGGAGGGGACTCCAGAGCATGCTCCTCAGCGGAGCCAACGCCCACGTGGACGGGACCCCCAGATGGCACAAGGGGGAGCGGCGAGGGAACAGCCGGCGCGGGCCTCTTTTGCACGACCTGGGAGGCCTCCTCAGCCCTGCCCCTCTTCTGCCCGGCCGCTTTCTTCTTGTTGGCGGCCTGCTTGGAGGGGGAGGGTTGTGACGTCTCTTTCTGGGGGGCTGAGCCGCCCCCCGGGGTGGAAGCCCCACCTGGGGCCCCCCGAGCAGCCTCAGGCTGGGGGTCGGGAGTGGCCTCCTCGAGGGGTGCGCCCAGTAGTTGGGAGAGCTTCCTCACTGCAACGAACACCACCAGATCAGCCAAACGCAAGACAGTTAAGGGCAAAAAAGGAAAACTATATACTACAAATGCGACAGGGGCAAAGCCAGCGTTACAGGTGTCGAGTTTGGGCTGGGGGGTAGCCACCTCCCCAGAGGATCCGGACATCGTCCCCATCAGCCCGGCTGCGGAGATCTGCTCAGTGGAGATCTTGGTGACATCGAGTTTCACCTTGGAACCCAACAGCTGGCCGAGGGTCTCGTAGTCCAGGTCCTCCGGGTAGGGGTCGGCCTTGACTCCCCCAACCTTCCACACATTGGGGGGAAAATGTGTGGATCTGACAAAGAAGAAGTCCTCCTTCCAGTCCTTCACGGAGGAGGGGAGCCCGTAGAACAACTCCTGGGCCCCTTTTCCCCCCTTGGTCTGGGGGCCACGGCGGGAGAAGTAGTACCACCCCGGGAGGGCGGCCTTAAGAATGAAGGCAGCTCGGAAGAGGGAGAGAGAGTAAGGGATGTCGCAGAGAAGGCAGTAGATCAGGAATCCAGTGATGATCCTGATGGAGGTGGGATGAAGCTGTGTGATTCTGAGCCTCCAGTGGTTCAGAATCTCGGTTAGAGCTGAATGGATGGGGAGACGGAGCCCTGCGATGAGCTGCTCCCTATAGATGGCTACGAAGCCAGGAGGAGGCCGGCAGGCCCGGTCGTCGGGCCCGGCCAACCTCGGCTCGTAGGTTGGAGGGATGGAGTACGACCTAGCCAGCTCGGCCAAATCCTGGGGAGAGAGGGTGGGCTCCTGCAGGTCGGGATAGCCATAGGAGAATTCAGGATCATTCCCCTGCTCGGGAGCAGGGGACCCCCCCGATGAGTCCCTATCCTCCCCGGCTCCCTCCTGGGCTCCGCCAGGGGAATCATGGGGGGATTTGGGGGAGGGAGTGGAGGTAGCCTGCCGCGCGATGAGCGCGTCGAGCTCGGCTGCCTCCTCAAGGGCTTGGGCCGAAGGGGAGTGGGCAGACGGGGAACTCATGGTATCGGTAGGCTCAAGTAGGTCTGAGGTGTGGAAGCTGGGGCTAGAGAAAGAAGAAGAGGAAGGGGGAGGAGGAGAAGATGGTGATGAAGATGAGGGGAAAGGCGAGGAAAGAACGGTGATCCGGGGGGCTCTGCGGCGGACGGAAATTACAGCAACAGAGGAAGAGGCGCCGGGATGATCCGACATAAAAAATGGGAGGCGGCAGAAGGCAAAAGAGACACTGCAAAGAGGGAGGATGAATCGCAAAAAGGACTTACTGATGACGGCAGGAGAAGGACTGAAGGCTCGCCGGAATCTGGGCACAGGACGCCGGAAGTTGCTGGAAAACGGAAATGTGGGTGCACAGGGAGAGTGATAACTTGAAATGCACAAGAAGAAGCGGAAATGGCAAATGGGACAGAGGAGAATTTGTCATCCCCTATTTATGGGGGGAAGAGTGGAGGGAAAACGGTTGCGTGAATTTGAACCGACCCCCATGTGAACGCATTTAATGCTGGCACGAAAACCGAAGAGGCGGGACAGCTGAAAGGACACGGGCGCAGCGTCCCTGTGACAGCCCTGTACCCGAAGTGACCTCGGCAGAGTAGTGCGCGGCTCTGGCCTCCCACGTGGCGGAGGTAGATTAGGTCTGCCTGACAGTCCTACCTAATCTAGGGGGCTAGTGCAGAGGCCCCATTTTGGGGCCCAGACACGTGGCAGCCCAGGAATGGCCGAGCTGGGCCTTGGCCCTCAGACCCCTGGGAGCGGCCCCGGGCCGTACCGACTAGGGCTCCCAGGGGAGGCGAAGGTCCATCCCGAAGAGGTCGGGGGTAATCCCCGTGAGTGCGGGATACTATCTATACTGGGCAAGTCCCGCGTCGTGCGGAGGTCGGACTCCCTTGCAGGTATAAATGATAACACACATCCACTGTACAAGGTACGCTCACTATAGGCAAATTACTCCCGGTTATTACTACTTCCCGTGAACTCTACTCACCGGAAAACTAACTTGACCGTCAGAGTGCCCTCGGGGACCACCCTCGGGCCCCCTCAGTTAGCTCATCCTTTCTGTTTTGCAGGCTTGGAGTCAGCTCTGCCATCAGCGATCCGAGCTGATCAGGTCAGCTCTCCTAGGGGAAGTTCCGTGCTTCTTCAGTGACGTATCTTGGAGAATAGATGCGGGAGGAAACAACTCTAGGCCTTTGTAAACTTTCCAAGTTCAGTGGCTCAAGAACCAATTCACCACTATTTTGCTTTCCTTATGTTGTAGAAGGGTTGGAGAATAGATCGTGATAAGCTGCACAAAGGATCCTGGAGCCCCTCCATTTCATAGTGCCCAAAATCGCCAATTTAGCTCAACATAAGGTCGTCTTATAGGTTGATCAAGACCTCCTGTTAAGATGAGGTTAATCGAACAATAACTGAAGCAATCAGAATAACTTTGTAATTTTTTCCGAAGTTTAAAATACTTGGAAAAAAGCTAGAGTGGCAACGCATGAAGAGTGAATTACAAGAGTTGCAGAGCATCACAATTTGTAAATACATAATCGAGTAATTATATTTATCCATATGAACTAGTATATAGTGCATGTACTTCTTCTAAGTCTAGTTTAAAAGAAAAACACTATATGTCAATTGACAATCCATTACGTCTGGATTTATGTTGACAAAATCTCCTCCAGGAGTAAAAGAACATAAAGAACAGCCCTTTCCAACCCAAAGGACTTTGTGGACAATCATTTCCAACATCCACAAATAATCAATGTTTTTAAACTCGGACCGGTCAGTGAACCGGAGAGGTGGTCGGTTCGCGGTTCGACCGGTCCGACCGATCCAACCGGCCGATTCAAAGGTTCACTGTTTTTTTTTTTAGTGTTAAGTACTAAGCAGGTTTCATTCTACACTTGAACTTTACCAACATAACTTAATTTAAGTTATGATAATAATAAATTTTCTAAAAGTTATACACAAAACATGGAATGATAAATATAATTAAAATATCATAATTCACCACAAGTTTTCATAAATTCATTATAAACATAAATAGATACAATCCAAATGTGCACCAATTATCACAAATAAAAACACAAAAAATAAATAAATTAAATATTGAAATTCTTTTACAACCCTTAAAAAAATCCATAAAAGAGTTCAAGTTAAGACAAACTATTTGAATAGCAAACTTTTATCAGTGGCATGATAAGCAACCACACCACCTTCACAATTTCATCAACTTAAGCTGAAAAAGTTAAAATTTTATTATAAAAATATAAATCTAATTGCTCAAACTAAAAAAAACTAAAAATTTTTGAAAAACAAATATACAGTTAAACACATAAAAAATTAATTGCTACTAAACATTACTAATTAACATGTTATATTAAATTCAATGATCCTATACCATTAATTATTTTAAATTCAATTATCAATAGCTTCGATTATGTGCCAACTACCATATTTTTGACCAACCCAATGTTATTATTTGTAATTCCTACACGGATGTGCACTACTTTTGCAAAAATTTCATCCTTAATTAATCGAATAAAAATAAAACAAAAATGAGGGAAACATATGAAAATTGAGGGGAAAAAGAAGAAAATGCAAAAAATCAACTAAAGATAATAATATAGAAAAAAACCTTGAAAAGAAAAAAATTAAACTTACTAAAATGTTGGAAAACAAGAAAAGTTGAAATTTTCAACTTGTTTACAATCTGCTAAAGATAATAACCTGATAATAATGGTGAAGACTTGAGAAAA